TAGTTGGCCATTGTCAGCTAATAGTTGGCCATTGTCGGCTGGTAGTTGGCTATTGTCGGCTGGTAGTTGGCTATTGTCGGCTGGTAGTTGGCTATTGTCGGCTAGTAGTTGGCCATTGTTGGCTAGTAGTCGGCCATTGTCGGCTAGTAGTTGGCCATCGTTTGCTAATAGTCTGCCATTGTCGGCTAATAGTTGGCCCTTTTTTTAGTATTATCAGGGTGATTAATAGTCATCCATATGTTGTCTTAACAGGTTTAGAGTTTAAGCTAATTAAACCCTACTTAGCTTAACACTGGTAGGAAAAAAAAAAGAAAATGCTAACACCAAAGACTTTTTAGGCTAATTGTTAGCCTTTGTCGGTATTCTCACTGTGATTACCGTTCATTCATATGTTTTCCAGTAACCAAACAGGTTTCAGGTTTAACCTCATTAAACCTTTTTAGCTTAAAGGTATTGTGGAGGATTTTCTCAATTTTTTAAAAAGACCCGCCCTCTTCACTTTAAAAAAAGATGCGTGTGCGAGAGCATGCACGAGCCCATCTAATTTTTAGCCTTTGTTGGTATTCTCACTGTGATTACCAGTCATTCATATGTTGTCTTAACAGGTTTAGGATTAAGACTTAGCATTCATATGTTATCTTATTGTTTACAATTATACCAAATAACCAAACTGGTTTAGGGATTAACCTCATTAAACCCTACTTAGCTTAACACCAATAGGAAAAGCAAAAAAGATGCTAATTCTAAAGTTTGTTAGGCTAATAGTTAGCTAGTGTATGTTGAAAGAATGAAGAGCTGGTGCAACTGACTTCTGGTCACCCAATCAAGCTAGTTTCTTTTTCCAACCATATGCATCTCTAAACCGATATGGGGTTTACCTCGCTGTTTTGGGTCTTTCTTATGCTGCCATTTTTCTTTTCTTTTGGTTTGGTTTTCTTGTAGTGGATTGTCTGTGTTTTAGTATTAGTAGCAGTAGTTACAGTGTACTGGTCCTTTTGTGACACACAATTTTAATGCCTGGCAAAGTGTCTCATGTTTATTTTACTTTCCTCGTTTTTTGGGAATGAGAATTGCTATCTATTCCTCTCTTTCTACCTCTTTCTCTTTACCTCTACTGGACCTTTATCTCTCCTTCTGTGTCTCTCTGTCTCTCGGTTCCTTCCATCCTTTGGTGCTCTGTTTCTCAACCCACCACATATAATGAGATTTTTCAGGAGAATGGTCACCAAATGTAATTGCTTTATTTGAATGATGCACTTTGGTATATATTTTTATATACATTTTAAACTGTTATTTTTTTCTTGTGTTGCTTGTGTAATCTTATTTTCCCTCTTTTTCATCTTTGTGTGTCCCTGTTTCTGAATACGGACTGGCTCCGTCTCTTTACCCCTCACCTGCATCCCTCACCCCTAACCTACCCGTCTCATCTTTGTCTCGTATGTGTTTGATGTGGGAGTGCTCAGATTGTTTTGATTGGTTTTAATTGTGCATCCAAAGCTTGCTGATTGGCTGAATTTCGTTTTGTTGGTATATTTCAGTTTGTAACTCACTCTGGGTCATGTGATGCACCCGTATATGGCTGTGTGCAACTTTTTTTTTTTGTTTTTAGATGATTATTAATTTTGTCAAAAAAAATGTTTTTGCACCCCCTCTTTCTCTCCCTCTCTTTTATATTTCATTTAAACTGCATTTATTCTTTTAGGTACGTAAACCCCACAAGTTTGGTTTCATATGGAAATGTGATTTGATCTTTGTCCGGATCTATCTGCCAGGCTGGACTGGGAGGGCAAAAGTGGGATGAGAAAGGATGAATGTTTTGATCAATCTCTTCCTTCCATATTGGTCTCTGCTGAATTGCATGTGTTGTCATGTCCTGTTTCATTGATTACGCATGACCTAAATACAGTTATTATTGTGTATTGCTTTGCCTTGGGACAGTTTTTATACATTTCTGCATATTGATGAATTACAACCACAAGTTGTGTTACCTTTTGCTGAATTTAATGTGAAAGACCAACACAAAGTAGCACAAGATTATGATCGTAAAACTTTACTAATCTAAAAAGTAACATGCATTTATATTTGTTTCTTTGCTGCTCTATTTTGCCTCATTAACTCTTAATTTCCAGTCTCTGGGGAGAAAAAGATCCCACAGCAATGGCAGGTTTTACAGCTGGTATTTGGCGTTAGATTCTTACCAAGGGAAATATTTTACAAATTGCACCTGTTTCCCCGGCTAGAATGCCATGTAAATCCAGGGGATTCGGGTTATAAAAAAAGAGAAAGAAACAAGGTCAAAATATTATATTTTTGAAATGATATATTTCTAATGGAACAGTATCCTCACATACGCCATCCTGCATGTAGAACCAGAAGTTGCTGTGGTGGTAAATGTCTTGTGATAAATTTAAAACAGGACCTCTTTCTTTCCTTTCCTCTGCAAATGTCTAAATTGGTGTTTCCGTTGCCAGGGAATGAAAATTCACACCTTTCAGATTATATTTTAAAGTCTTGTAAGCCATCTATCATTTTTATTCGGCTTCGTTGTGTGGGTCTATCACATTAAACCCAGATATATAACACAGAGGATAGTGGTTGTCATAGAATGAGGGAAAGTTCAAGGGTTGCAACGTATAAAGAATCCCTATACACAAACTAAACTATAAACAGCTAGCTCAAACTAAACACATTAGGAAGCACCTTCTCAATATCTGTAGACCAAAAATGTAGCTTTATTTTGGATCATTTTAATTAATCTAATTTACATTTTGGAAAATCTTTCTGTACTGTAACATTTAAAACGTGTAATTCAAGCTAGCTAGCCCAGGCTAATTGAATCATTTGCCGCTGACCTTGTCATCTGCAATGAGGGAAAAATGAGGTACACCTCATTTCCATTTGAATGAAATGCTGCAGATAAAGAACATGACTCACCGGGAGAGGCATTGCGAACAGCAGCCGAGGCTTTAATGGTCCCCTAAATTGCAAAGCAGTGTGTGTGCATGCACGAACACTCTCATTCCTCGGCCTGTCTCTAGTGCTCTCCTTCTTTGTCGCATGCAAGCACACCCTCTCTTTGAGTCTTGCCAAAAGGTCATTAATCTTTCGCTTTCTAAACAGTCAAATGTGCAACCTCGGCAGCACTCTCAGACAGGGTGGGTTATTATGTAGAGCTAGTCTCCCTCGCTTAAAGCCCATCAAAGGAATATGAGGATACATCAAGGGACCAAAGTGGAAGCCTTTGAAGCGCAGAGAGGAGATTATCAGCCATCTTGGATTAAAAAAAGCAAAAAAAAATTGGACTGAAATAACAGCTAGCATCCACAGTACATACACACACCATCAAAGCCCCAATGTGTTCATCTGTGCATGCTGAAAACATAGCTCAGTTTACTATCCTGCGTCACCATCTTACATCTCTGTATATCAAACCACCAAAAATCTCGAGCACAGCTTGCTTTTTGTTGCATGACTGAAATTCCCCTTAATAACCTCCATCCACTTATGTCATCAAACATAAACACAGACACAGAGTTGAGTTGTCACTGGTAAAATATTATTTAACTGCCCTTTGGTGATGTTTTACCGGTAATCCCAAAAACACTGCTGAGACGTTAGGTGAGAAAACTGACACAATAATACCCAACTGATTCACAGTCAGGTTTTTTGTTTCTTAAATGAATGATCAACACTTTATCCTTCAAGCTTGATCTTTTCATAAGTCACATGTTGAACCGGCCTAGCTGGTTTGAACTCTGATGGTAAATAGGCACCCCATTAACAAAACAGTTTGGCATAATCTACTCTTATGATTAGCACAGAGCTTCACGGGTGGTACCTTCCTGAACATTTAGCTAGGTGCTCTAATGGTGTCTTAGATGTTTTAAAAAAATCCAGCTTAAGAGGAAACATAATATTTTCCTGTCAGCACCTGTAATATTAAGGAAACATGCTAAGGGTGGCTGGCTTATTAGTTTCTGTAGCAATCTTAAGTTCATATAAACTAGAGATGTACTGATCAGAGATTTTAGGCTTAGTTCTGGTTTATTCCAGTCATTGTTATTTAACTTTCTGACCTATCTCAATAAATGTGAAGAATTAGCAGTTGAAAATAGTTATAAATAAATTGGTTATATATAGGTATGAAGAAAAAACATAAGACTTCCACACTTTAAACTGTCTTTCCCCAGATAGCATTGTTAGCATCAAAATCTGTGAACAGCAGTCCCTAAACCTATACTACCTCACTTTAACTGAGATTTGGAAAGACTGCTTTAATTTCCAGATCTGAGATAATCCATGACATATAAGCTGAAATCAAAATAACACAGACCCACTCAGCTGTAAATGTTGAGCCTTCCTGTTATCTGCTGAAAATCTTGCTCTCTTAACGCAATAGTGTATTAAAGCTTTCTTTCCTGAAGCTTCTAAATAATTTTGGAGACGATAGGGAGATGGCTAGCTTTAATATTTCTTCTATCAGAAATACCTCCATCCATACTTGGGTTTGTTGTGTGTACTGATAGGAAGAAGAAAAAAATCTATATCACTTCAAAATAAGTTATTAATGTTTGCCTATGTTTTTCGATTCTTGAATATTCCAGAAAAAAAATTCCCCAGGTACAGACGTTATGAAGTTTTTCTTAATAAAGTTTGATTAAAATATACCACAACACACTGCCATATCCCCTTCTTTGTATTAGAATGAAGCGCCATAGAGCTAAGATATTAAAATTAGAAAAGAAATGTTGATAAAAGCAACCCAACTAGCACTCTTCAGTGATGAATTGTAGTAGCACACCAAATGATGATGAATTGTAGTAGCACACCAAATGAAACAGTCGAAGGCAGGCATCATCATTAGCAATATACACATTAATTATGCTTTAATGTTAAAGCAAACATATACATCAGCCTTGACCCATTTTTGAGTTTCTGTGCTAATTTTCTCTTCCTCTGTTGTCTTTGCGCTTGACTGTCTGCTCCTCCCTCCCTCCCAGGTGAATAATGCCACCGCCAGGGTGATGACTAACAAGAAAATCGTCAGCCCTTACCCTAATGGAGAGGCTCTCAGCACGCTGCCCTATGGTAACAACTGCAGTGACGCACACTAACACTGGGCCTGAAAGCCCAAACCAGCACATGGAGAGACACAAATGCCCACTTTTACATCGCTGCTTACTTGAAATGTTTGTTTACCCATTACACATGATCCCCTTTTAAAACTGCCTGTGGTGTAGCTTTACAGTAATGGCGTAAAGCACGCCATCAACTCAGATGATGCATTTCTTTTAAATGCTAAAAGCTGAATTGCTTAACCAAACTGACAAAGAAGCTGAACTGAAGCAGAATTTTACAACAAGCAAAACTGAAACTAGATTTTTGAGATGCAACTTCAATTCGAAGGAAGAAGCAGACTAGCATAAAGTCATAACAAGGCAGAGTTAGCTTAAAAAAACAGAAGGGTAAATTGTGGGATGCTAACATGCTTCTCATAGCATGTTGGCTAGAGGTAGCTAATGTTACCTGCAACAGTTACATAGAATATTAATCATTTACTAATATGCTACCCATTGTTGCTACCATTATATTGCTTTCTACCAATATCCCTTGAGCTAACCATAGCTAACACTGTATACTATGCAAATATTTAGAATACTGTCATCAGCTAATATGATAACATTAGTTAAAATGCTACTAATATCCTTCCAGTTACTTTGCATAATTTAGACTGCAGCTAGCTAAATAGTATGTTAGCATTAATCAGCCTGCTGGTAATAACTTGTTTGCTTACAACAGCCAACATTATTCAACATAAAATACAATCATTTGGTAATATTATTGTATTAGCTGGGCTGCTATTTATGTAAATTAAGCAGTAGATGTTAAAAGCTACGTTAGTTGCTTTTCCATTACAGAAATGTGCAAAAACAATGTCGATGTTCTGCTAAATTTTAAAATGCGAAGTCTCACTATTGCGGTATTTCCATTGAATAACGCATGCAATTAAACACGTGATTACGTTTGTTGTTGTGGTAACTCTAATAACATGGCAGCTGTGGATGTGGACACATGAGATATATCCACCTTTCAGCCAAAGCCCTAGGGGGCGCCATCATCCTGTAACTACTTCCAGTCTTCTTTGTCTTTTAACAAGGCAGTAAGGTCCAGAACTTTGCAAATCACGTGACACGTGATGTGAAAAACTGTTTCCATTGCTGGTTTGCGAAATGTAAGAATTTCGATATGACCAATAAGCCACCTCATTGAAGAGTAAAAACTTTAGATCAAATAACGTGTTTTTTGGAGTTACAGTGTTTACAATTAGCAAATTTATTTTTGTAATTACTATTTGCACAATACCTGATATATAGTCACTTAAATATAGGGTGAATTATTATATGCTGCTCTAATGCTACTTTCAAACCGCAAGCAGCACGTTTTAGCGTGAGCAGTGCTTCATTTTTGATGCTTGTAAAAGTTTAGTTCTGACGCGCAGCTGAAGCATCTTTACTGCCCTAGCTGTGCGGTTGAAAAGTGGATCTGATGCGCATTGGGTGGAGCTACCGTATCCTTTCTTTCCCTGTAACAATCGTAGCTATATATGCTGTGATCAGTGGGTAAAAAGCAGTTTTAATGTTTTTAAGTGAAAAAGTCTTAGACCCCCGTACGCCGGCGGTGTGCTGTCGTGAGGAATCCCGTTCAACAGCGGCCTCTGGCCCAGTCGCCTCTTTGCGGTTTTCCACTACTGTTCACGGCGGCTGGAAGTAAATGTTAGCATTTTTTATGTACGTAATCCAAACTGCAGGCACCAGTATAAAAAATTCGAGCATATTTTGCCGGCAGGTTTCGACAATTTAAGGTAATTTAGGCGTTAATGAACTGTTTCAGAGGAGTGATCACAGCGATTCGCATTAGCAGCGCTGTGTCTGTCTCCCTGCCAGCTCCCAGATTAGCTTCTCTGATTGGTTGATGTGGCATGTTGAGCAGCAAAAGTAAAATTTTTCCAAATCCAGCAGCTGATGCTTCTGAAGCACATGACGCGCGTCAGAAGCTCATGATGCGCTTCTTAAGCTGCTCAGACGCGCTGCAGGACCTTTTGCTGCACTAAGATGCACGTCAACCATTGATTTTGCAATAAAACTAGCTGCTTCTGCTGCCTCTGCTGCTTGCGATGTGAACTTAGCATAAGTTTAAACCATATAAATTATCATAAAGCATTGGACTAAATGGTCAATATGCGAAATAAATCATACTGTTTATGTTAAGTAGCTCAATCTTTTTTTTCTTATTCATTATTTCATTTAATCCAAATTTTCTGTCTAATTATCAGCAGGTTGGAAACTTAGTCCCATGGTGGGAGCTGTGTATGGACCTGAGATCTACGCAGGTAAGGGAGACCCCTTCCTCTCATTGTACTTCCCATCAAAGTACTTAACTAATTTCATGTTATGCCCTCTCAGTGCCAGGGTTTCCCTACCCAACCGCAGCAGCGGCAGCAGCAGCCACGACAGCTGCAGCAGCTTTCCGCGGTGCCCACCTCAGGGGCCGAGGTCGGCCCGTTTACAGCGCCGTCAGGGCTGCTGTGCCTCAGCCTGCCATCCCTGCCTACCCTGGGTAATGAAAATCTCACTCATCTGTGCCGCTATCTGGGATATCTGTCTGTTTTAGAAACATTTTTTTAAATGAACTGTTTTATGTGGTGCTTGAATAAATCTGTTTGCCAAGGTCTCTGTCTGACTCAAGTGCTCATTCAGTCGTCACGCTCCACAATTATCCAGGTTCTTTCCAGCCATCCAGTTGGCAGATCTTTCCATCTGTTCACAAGCAATCAAGAGCAGTTCTGCTCTGATTGGATTACACCACAGAGCGTGATTTGAATAAACAGACACCCCAGTCAGCAGATTTGCATAAGCACACACAAAGCATATTTAGTGACAGTACAAACGCAGTCACCTTGTACACAGGTTTGCTGCTCCTGAACCAGTAGTGCCTCGTTCTGTTTTCTGTAAACTGTGCATGTCATTGTGCTGTGATGATGGGCTAATGGGGTTGCGGCTGCATTTACGCTATGATCAAAGCAGATTTGAATGATTTATGTCTTACTATGATATGATTAAACTGAATTTGGGGCGATGAAACTGGGAGGATGCAGGAAATACTCTCTCCAAATCGGCTCCACCTCCAGTCATCATTCCCTGGAAAGTGACCGGAACAAAGCAGCTCTCTATAGCTTTGGTTTTCTTGTAGCAGTGGAACAGTCATGCTTTACGGTCACATGTAAAATCATTTCATATATTAGCCCTGGCAGTGGGATGTTATTAGTTTCCAGCTGCATTCGTGGAGCTCAAATGGAAGTTGTATTTCCTCTGCATGCTGCATGGGTGTGAAATAACACTTTTTCTCTGTTTTTCTCCTCTCTCTCTTCCCCCCTCTTTTTTATGCTGTGTTTTTTGATCCTCATCCACCTTGGGGTTTTTTTTGGGACTGTGCACCACTCCGTTTGCACCCCTCCCCTCCCTCCACCACACCCTCCCTCCTGTACCTTCTCCCTACATCTGCCATGTTCCCCCCCCTGCTCTCAGCGTGGTGTATCAGGATGGGTTTTACGGAGCTGCAGACTTATATGTAAGTAAATCCAATTCCAAACAACACGTCATCTCTGTCCCTGCCCTCACGGCCTTCTCTCTGCTCTGTGTGTTGTTGTTTTTTTTCTGTCCCTCTGGGGGTGATTCTGCATGTGCATCCAGTCATGCGCCACACAGAGCTGCCTGTATCATGGTGGAATTGATGAAATGTGTCACAAATTTTCACAACATGCAAGATGAATCATGCCCATGGGCTTTTTGTTGGTTGAAGTAAAAATAGTGGAACAAACGGATCTGTCTGGGTTTAAAAATATTACCAGATGAGTAAATAAAGAACGTCTTGATTATAGGATGCAGGATCTGAAACTCCACTACAAAGGCTGCTTTGTGGGTGGATGCTGCAGTGTGCATCAGTGTTTGAGAGTGTGGCTGTGCGAGTGTGTGTGTATCCAGGTTGACAACGGCTGTTTCTGTTCTCTCTATAGACTAGTGTTACAGGACTCAGTCCTTAGTCCCAGATTGCCTCAGGTAGGGTCACCTCACCATCGAACCTACAGTGTGCATTGTTTGACTTTTACTACCTGCTCTGATCTTAAGAATCATCCTCTGATCTGATCTGGAACATGTCGTCTTTTAGTTGAGAAATTGTCTTGGAGTTTGCTTTATTTTTCTACTAACTCACTGAATCCTTCAAGTTGTGGAAAAGGGGGGAAATGTTTGTTTGTTGACTAAACCACTACTAAAAACGATTGCACATACTCTTCCTCCCAGTAGATTCAAAAGAGAAGCTGGTCTCTCTTCTCTGTTTGGCTGTTCTGCAAGTAAAATTAGATATAAGCAATTTGTTTCCTTGCTGGCGGAGAAAAGATTAAATCCTGCATTCATGGTCCGGAGGTTTGAGTTGCAATATTTGCATTTGAGTCTGAGAGCTGGTCTCATGTTTAGAATGCACCAAATTAAAATCTGTTTTTATTGCAGTCAAAAAAGCATTTAATTTGAGTTGATCTAATCAGCCATAAAGAAAGGCAAAATATTTATACAGAAAACTATTTTGACATAATTACCAGGTGCAAAGTTATTGGTTCCCCCCCACTGTTACATTTAGTATCAGAGCTCTTCTTCTAAAGCATCAGTGAGTTTCTTTTTTTTTTATTTATACAATCTCCAGATCATCAGAAGTCCTGCTTGATTTCGCTTTTTTAAAATATTCCTTGCTGATTTGAGCACATTTCCTTTATCATTTTCCAGTTAAAGGAATCTGTGACGATTTACTTTAAACCTACTGGGAGAATCGAATACATTTATATATAACTTCAGGTATTTAAACATGGTCTTATATTACCAACTAGCACCTAAATGTTTCATCAGATTAATGTGAATTAATCAGTTATTGACAAAATTATCGATTTAGTAAGTCATTAATTCATTGTTAACTGGAGATATACAAACTAAAACATACTGTAAGCTGAAAGACTTAACCATTAAGACCAGTAATTATAGCAAAATTGTAAAAAATATATAAATACTTTGCATTTAAACTGAAAAGCCATTTTTTGTCCATTAATAAGCTCTAAGCAGAACTTCTTAAGCGGCAAAGTTTTAGTTTGGCTTGGTTTAAATTCTGTATTATTTCTTCTTTATTGCAGGTTTTGTTCTCCAATTATTAATCAAATAATCAGAAAACAGTCAACAGAAAAATTAATTGTTAGTTGAAGCCCTAGTTAGAATGTTAAGCTTCCCTGGATCTTATAAAGAGGAAGAGTCCCGCAGCATTAAGGATCCTCCACTTTACTCAGCCATAGATATTAAGTGTTTTTTTCCCCCTACACATTTATTCTTTGTTGCCTTAAAGCCAAATCTCAGTTCTGTCCAGTCGAGGCTCCCAGTTGCAGTCAAAATACCAGAAAAACTCTACAGAAAATCCTAAATAGAGAAAAGACGGTCTTAAAGTTTTTATATAGACCTGGTCTCTGTACCGTGAACCTTAGAGATTTTTATTCCCATTACAATCCTGCTCACTGTGAGCGATGCATGGATAAATATGGGTCATGGTCCTTTCTGCTGCCTCTGTGCCACGTTTATTTTACCTGCTGAGGAAACACTAAGCTAAATGTTAGAAACAACTGACCAACTTTATCCAGGAAAACATAAATTAAAAAAAAAATTTTTTTTTCTTTCATATGGATTATTCTCAGGTACCAATGATGAGACTACACTTATTTCTCATTTATAAAATGTTTTTGTTCCTCTTTAAATAGATATAATCTAGTTGAGATGTTGCAACTGCAATAAACTGAATTTGTTTCGGGGTTTTTTCCTGCAAATCTTCCTAAGTGTGGCCACAAACGTAGATCCAGCTGTATATGTCTGACATCTCCATTCTTACCGTCTCGACTTTATTATAAATTGAAGTGTTTGATCTGATTTTAATAATATCTGTACCGGTAAAACATCTGGTTTCATTGCAGCCAACTAAAAATCTAAAAAAAAAAACTCTGCAATATAGCGCCTGTCCCTTTAAGAAAAGTCTCAAACAATCTAAACAGTTTTAGTTCTATTAAAACATTTAAACCGGTGCCTGATCATTGCTTAGTGACACGCAGTCGGCAATAACAGGTATTTTCTGTCAAATTGAATGTTTATATCACTCTGCTTTATAATTTGGTGAGATTGATTTAGAATTGGAGCAAATGAAAGGTTTAGAGACGACCTGACTGACTGCAGCAAACCAATGCAGGCAACAAAAAACCTCTGAATAATTTTCCTGATTAAAGGAGAAACATGTGTCTGATGTTTAGCGTTATAGCCAATCTTTAGGTGGGTTTACATTACAGACATGTTGCTGATTTGCAGCATTAAAAACAAAACACGTCTCATCCAGACGCAGTTTTTCTGCAAGAATTTGATCTCTTCATCAGCGTGAAATGGAGACTCAACCCCCCTCATGTTAATAGCTAATAGTTGAGGCATGTGCTGATCAGCTGCTCCATGCAGGCTAACTACCACACTGCAGCCCCCCCCATCCATGAATAACCCCCCTTGCCTCTGCTGCCGCTTCATCTCCTGCAGGAAGCTGAGTAAAATCTCAGATTTCTGCTTTTTGGCTGCTCTGATCTCACATTCACGTCAGGTTCAAATGCAGTGGGGTGTTTGTTTTGTTGTTGTTGTTGAGGTCTGAATTGTAATTCTGGGTCATGCATGGAGTCTCTGAGCAAAGAGGTGATTTTGGTGTCTGTCTGGGCTTGTGTGAGTGTGTCTGACTTTGGTTTCCAGCTTTTAATCCTTTTTTATGTCTTAAATTCACCAACAGTATTTGTAACATCGGTCTGATCAACATTTTCATCCCTGTGATGTTTAGCTTACTCTTTTTTTATTTTTTTATTTGAGTTTCCTTTGTTCCCGGCGCTGTTTGGCATTCTCTCTTCCACTTCTTTCCCTCCCTCTTCCCTTTAGTGACTCTACAGTAATTCTGACACTCCAATGTCCTCTGTCTCCTCTTCTGTCTCACACTGAGCCATTGTGCTTTTTATTTATTTCATTTATGACATTTTAAGCATTACAATACAGCTTTTATATAATAAAATGGAAACTTTTTTTTAAACTTTGCTAAATATAGAGTGGTCCTAAGTATTTAATCAGTCACTGCAGCTGTTTCCTCCCTGAAGCCGTGCCAGTTAGTTGTCTGTGTGTGTGTGTGTCTCCAGGGAGGCTATCCTGCTGCTGCCGCCGCGGCCGCCGCTGCATATCGCTACGCCCAGCCTGCTGCCGTAACCGGAGCAACCGCCGCCGCTGCCGCCTACAGTGACAGGTGAGACGTTTGTATAACTGCCTCACTAAAGATGAGATCCTGAATAAAAAGTAGCCGTTCTAACCTTGGTTTCTGCTGTTTTGTTTTTAGTTATGGCCGGGTTTACACTACAGATCCGTACCACGCTTTAACTCCAGCTGCTGCCGCGTACGGAGTGGGAGCCATGGTAAGGAGTCTGATCCTGGGATGGTTGCCTTATCATCTTGAAGCGTTTCAACACATCGCCAAACTGTATTCATACTGAATCGATACTGTCTCACAGAATACTGACACCTGCTGGACATTTAAAGCCACTACAGGCAGCTGATTTGACAGACTAAACTGAATTGATTTGATGATCTAGTAAAATTATATAATTTAAGTTATTGTAGGGTATATTGTATGTCTATGTTTAGATTAAAAACATATCTTTGATATTTTTAGATGCAGCCAATAAATAGTGTAAACATATAACGTAACAATTTAGGGGAAAATGTGAATGAGGATGCTTGTGGACTAAGATTTTTAAATCATATTTTTAAAACAATAAGTACAGAAAAAAAACAGTAAGTAAAAAAAGAGTCAATTTGAAATTAACTTAAATTCAGATGAGTTGAGTGATAATTGAGAGGAAAAGTATGACACAATGAGAAAATTAAAATAAAATCGTAACGGCTGAAACCTTCCTGTGCCTTTTTGGCTGCTCCAAAATTCTTGATCATTTTAATGATAACTTGCAAAAGATTAGCCTTTTTTTTTTTTAGAAGATGCATCATGTTAAAATTTACATTTTTAACCACAGTTTAGTCTGTCAGTCAGTTTGAAACAACTTCTGTATCGGTCACATGACGTTCTTGAAACGATACGGTGTTTTGCTCTATGGGCTCCACGCATCCACCGACCCATCGGCGTTGTTGGACCCATCACTAGTCAGTAGAGATAATAGAGAATCTGGTTTTAGGCCAATTTTTAATTAGGGAATTTTATGACCAGCTGGCACCTTGTTTTTTATTTTTATGTTATTATCCTGCCATTATTATATATATATTTTTTGGTTAATATCACCATCAGAGACGACGTCACGCCTTGTATGCAGCAGCCTTAAAAACACCTAAATTAGAGTTCTGCTTCTCTTTCTTTAACATCGTTTGTTAGCATTGTTAGCACAGTTAGTCTCCGCTAACAAGTGTTAATTGGAGAATGTTGATCCATACTTTTAACCACTAGATTTTTAAGGTGTAAAAAAGTTTTGATAATACAGCGCATTCCATCAAATTAAAAAAGAACACAAAAAAAAGTAAATTTTTTGTGATTCATTCAGCCTCTCTAGTATCAGCCACATCCTGCTTCTGGTCATTTTGCTCCTTGCTGGACATAAATCCTGTAGAGGACGGTTCTTTTTCAGCCACAACAGAACAAAAGGATCAGAACCTGCTAAATCTCTGCTCTGTATCATCTGATAAAACTGCTTTATTCAGTTTTATTGGCTTCTAATGCTCAATATATTCAACTATTGGTCGTCTGTCTTCTATTACAGTTTCCTCTCTGTGGGGAAAAAAACTCTTCACTAATCATGAGAAAACAAACTTTGAGCTTGAGTTAAATTTAACTGACCCTGTTTGATTTAGGAAGCATCGCTCACTGATTGAGCTAAATTAATTTATACTGTTAGATTTTCGATTAGCGTCTGGATTAGACCGAATAAAACGTTTTGGTCTATCCTAAAATTCAGATTTTCTGAAGATTTTTCTAGAGTTTTCTAAAAACTACTTTGTTTTTTTAGTCCAAATTTTCTATCCATGATTTCTAGCTCCTGTCAGAAAATTAAAGGCAGGAATATTTCACCTATTATTGTTTCAGTTCAGACTTTTTTACTTGTTTTACTGGGTTTAAAAGAAGATCAAAACCTTTTGATCTCAATACATGTTGAATCTCATATAAAACATTCAAATATTCTTTCGTAAAATTAAGGAATCACTGATAATTATGGTTTTGAAAACTAGTATCTAATATTTTTCTCAAAATACTACAGATTTGAACCTAAGTTTGTCTAAACGCCAAATAAAAATTGATGGAAGAATGTGGCTCAGGGATTAAATTGTGAAAGGTGGGTTCCTTCTGCGCCATGCTTGGTTCTGCTGGCGTTAGTCGCTTGTTATTCCGCCCCACTCCTGCCCCTCTGTGGGATGTTCAGATTTTTCAACTCCAGAGACATTTTTTTTCCTTTAATTCACTCTTAAATGTGCGTTTACATGTAAATCGCTTGCTCTGAGCGCACCTTAAAGCGCACCACTCTAAATTTGTATTTTTTTCAATGTCTAATTTCCTAATCTCCTTCTCTCCCCTTTGTCTTTCAGGCTAGTTTATACCGAGCGGGATACAGCAGGTTTGCTCCATACTAAAGCCACAAAACCCATCCAAGGAATTCCACTTTGCTCCAAAGCTCCCTCTGAAGCTCTGTGTTTTGGCAGGAGCCTCCCCTCCATTTTATCTGCAGGCAGACTATAATAGTGACAGCACTCTTCTTACTTCCCCCTCTCGTTCTTTTCGTGGTCGTCGCCACGTCACCAAAACCAAACTCTCTCCTTCTCTCTCCTTCTTTTCTGTCGCCGACATGGAATCAGTTGGAGGAACAAAAATCAAGTAAATAAAAACTGTGATAAGCATCTCCCAAGTATGAAGCTGGATGATTTGAACTCCAGAACAGGACTTTGGACTGTTAAGAAAAAAAAAACACACTATGGGAGAGGGACCTCGGTTCCGGAGCGACCCAACACACTACAATCCCTTTTTTCCCTCCCGATGAGCTGCCCCGTAAGACCCAACCCGACTACGTTGAGAACCAAGTATCCCGTTTTCTCTCACAGTGTTGGACTGAACTGAAAGGCTGAACTGCCGCAGCACTAATGTAAAAAAAAAAAAAAAAAAAGGTACTTTTGTTTTTAAACACTACATTGACATTTAAACGGAGCATAGAGCCGCTGCAGTCGTCTTTCTGGCTACAATAACAAACCTACAATAACGATCTACAGAAAAAGAAATGGATGAAACCAAGTACTTGATTCAGGAGATATAGGATTTTTATTATGTTCTTCATTTCAATGATGAAAACCACTGCTTTGTACTATAACCCACTGCATTTCTTTATTTTCATTCATTTTGTTAAAGAACCCCCCCAAAAAGACAACAACAAAAAACCTAAGATCATCAGTTCTCCAAAACGTTTGAAAGTGACAAGGAAAGATCATTTTTCTGCATTACCTCAGTTTAATCTCATTTATAAGAAGCTAAATGGAAAAAAAGAAAAAAAAAAGATTGTTTTCCTTTTAAAAAGATTAGCTCCTCCCCTACTGATGAACTTATCATCTTCCCCTTCGGATTTTGTAAGTTTTCGTTAACCTGGACCGTCGGGACATTCCAGCTCCGGCGAGGGAGCGGATCGGATCAACTAAAAGGAAAAAGGATTCAGCCAATCAGGAGCAGCCAATTAGTTCAGCAGAACCATCCTGCAGCATGTAGACGTCACAGTTATAAGATGAAGTTTTAAAAAAAATAGATTTCATCACCAGGTTTCTGTAGTATCAAAGCTCCTCATCTTGTTTTAAGTTTTACTTCCGGTGACTCTGAAGGCGTCATAAAAGAAAAATGACTGACTCCCCCCCCAAACCCATGCTGAAGCTATCTACATTACTGCTAGTATTTGCCTATTGCTTTTGCAGTTCCAAAGATTTTCTTTTCTTGTGGGGTCCTCTTGTATTTCTTTAATTTTTGTTTTATTTTTGCAATATTTCACCATGTGAGTTAAGGGGAAATGTCATCAAAGCAACAACTAAAATAGCAGAAGAAGTGATTTATACATACAGGAATTGAACCTTAATTTATTGAGGCTTCTGTATTTTTTGTCTTTCTTGCACTTAAATGCAGCGTAGACGTGCAGGCAAAGGAAGCGGGAGCAGAAAGGTGGGTAGAAATGAGAGGATGCAGGGTCCAACGCTGTCCACCGTTTTTTTTTTTTTTTTTTAGAGAATGATGAAACAGCATGAGGGGCGGTGAAGGTGAGAAACGGGACCCATTAATCATCAGCTGACAGAAAAACACAGTCTCCTTCCCACCACCCCCTCCGGCTGTCTTTTATAGGGTACGGCACGCTCAGGGTGGAAAGGACCAGCATGATGAAGGGTGTGCCGTTTGTTTGGCTTTTTTTTTTTTTCTTCGTATGATGGTGAACAGTGTGCAGTAGGTCCAATGAGTATTTTTGACAAGCATTACCTCTGTTATTTTATTGTTTTGTCTTACTGTTCCTTATGAGTATTATCAGAAGTGTTGCTATGCATGCTCTTGCGAGGGAGGAAGGGTGTCAGTCTTTCTGTTTTTGTTTTTTTTTGTTTTTTTATTTGTGCATGAATTCAAATCCTAGTGCTGGAGGAGGACAGGAGTGTTTACGGTGCAGGAGGAGCGGAGAGCTTTTGCGATGTGATGCAGGGCGACGGGAATGTTAGGGAACGTCCAGCGTTAAGTGTTGAAGGAGGAGCTGGAGATGCTCGTTCAGGCCTCAGATATGGCGGTAAACTCCAGGCGCTTGTTGGATGGCGTTAGATTCGGTTTCAACTCATCCGAGGCAGTTAATGTAGCAGCTGTATGATTGCTTAGAGGGCAGTGGGGGCGACGCATTCGCCCGTTCTCATATCTGCTTATTGAGGCAAATTGTTTTTGGGAATCCAGCAAAAGAAATAAAGAGAAAAGAAAAAGGACAAATCGATGCGATGGAAAAACTCAGAAGCAAAAGTTCTCCTATCCAGCCAGCCAGTCCAGTGGGAGTCTGTGTACAGCAGTAAATGAATGGGTTTGAATTGCATGTGAAGGTTTCTTTTCTATTTCACATGCTCTTAAAAGCTCATTTATCCAAGTGATTTTTTTTTTAAATAAGTGAAAGTAAATAAGTGTATTTTTTCTCGTTTTATTTTTCCATCCTTGTGTCTGCCTTCTGTTTATTCTCTTCATTATTATTGAATGTATATAATAAATAAACTGTTTGGTTTTTATTCTGGTCTTTGAGTGCTTTCTTATCTCCACTGGTTGTTCAAGCGTTTATATATTTATATGACCGATAAAATAGCTCATTACTTTAAAGCACGATGGAAAAGTGTTTTCTCCTAAAATCCTTAGTGAAGTTTTTCAGCCACTTTTACTTTGGTACCTCTAAATGAGTTGGAGGAGCTGCAGAGAACCACGGCTCGGGTGGTAAAAGATGTCGACAGGACAGCAATTATCCCCTTTAGATTGAACGTTTGACCAACTTGGTTCCTAAAAGGCTGGCGTCCTGCGATGTGTCAAGCTGATCCATTTCTTTGTGTTTCCTCATCAGCATATTAAGTAGTTCAGAGGCCTGAGAATAAGCCGTAATTTGAATTTTGGAAATCTGGGTTAATTCACAGCTTATTCATCTGTTGGACCGGCCTAGTCAAAGTAAAAACCTAAATCCAAACAACAATCTCGTTAGACTGGCCTAGTCAAAGTAAAAACCTAAATCCAACCAGCAACCTCTAAGTTAAAAAAGTGGAGGTTTAGACTTTATCTGTTCAACTGACAGAGTTTAAGATTTCAGGTTCATTGCTGAGACATACTGTGCCTTTCAGATGAAGGTGAAGTAACAGCAAGGATCCTTTTATTTTAAGAGCTTGCAAAAGATAAAAAAGTTTTGGTTGAACTTGATTTAATCAGACTGCAGCAACATTCTAATAAACAACTTCAGGAGCTGTTGCAGAGTGTTCCTCCTCAGTGGGGGCATCAGCTCTTCCAAGCCCTGATGATTGATGGCTGCAGCAATTGCACTCGATTACAGCGGCTCGGCTGGCTTGGCTTACCCCCCCACTTCCACCTCTGCTCCCCCAGATCAAAATCCTCTAAGCGATAAGCTGCTCCAACCACCTCCAGACTTTTTTCATCGCTGCCAAGGGGGGGTGGGGGTGGGAACAACCTGGAACCAGCTTTAATTGCATGTGGAGCTAATGGCTGTAAATAGGTTGGATGTGGCGGGAAACCTCATATCCCTGCTAATTGCTCCAATGCATGAGGGGCCAATTGCCAATTTGATGGCACGTGCTTTTTTTGAGTAATTGAAGTTGGGGATAATTGGAAGAAAAGATTGAAGAGTATCCAATAAAGGGGGCGAGGGACTCATTTTCTAAAGGTTAGAAGCTGATTTCTGTGGACGTTACATCGCTACAGATCTCAGTGGAGGAGAAATGATCTAATTTATATAACTCTGGTTGTTGCTTTAGTTGGAATCTATGATTGTGTTTTCTATCCCAATAATGGGATAACTGCAATGTAATAACTTGTGTCAATCCTGGTTTCTCAGTCATTTGAAATGTCCTTATGTCGCCCTCTGGTGGCTGAGCTGGGACACTTTGCCTCTCATTGAGGCAAATACTGAAGTACTGACAGTGATTGGCTTCAAGGGATCCTCACAGGTGTGCCAGTGTTTCTCTTTAGTCCAATCCAAGAGATTATACTGATTGCTTTATTTTTAAGTCTTTCTGATCATTTTAATTGGTTCACAGCTAATGAAAACAACAGTTTCTTTGAAAATATCAATGTTACAAAAGATAAAGTCTGGATGAAGAAATGTCCTGCTGGAAGGTTGTCCATGATCAGTCCACAGCTGAGGCCTCCTCTATGAATTACTGCATCAATGAAAGGTTGCAGGGTCTTTTATTTTGTAATTGTTACCTGTTCTGTTTGGAAATGAAATCAGCATCTTCATAAACTTTGTCAGCAGAGGAAAGGATTGGTTTTCTGTATGTCCTGTTGGGAGATTTGATAAAGGCCATGGACCAACACCAGCAGATGACATGGTTCCAGTCTTCACTCACCATGGGAACTCTTAGGATGAAGAGGAGAGGACCAGAGCTTCCTAACTGGGGGCCTTGATTTCCAGATGATTGATCTGGAGAGACTAAGTCTGTATTAGGAGTTGCCGTAGACAATGCCTCTGTGGCTCCAGCTGCTGTCCGTCCATCCATCCATCCACTCATCCAGGGTCAGGTAACAGTAGTAGCAGCTTCAGTAGGGAGACCCAGATGTCCCTCTCCCCAGCCACTTGGGCCAGCTCCTCCGGGGGAATCCTAAAGCTTTCCTAGGCCAGTTAAGAAGCATAGTCCCTCCAGCGTGTCCTGGGTCTCCTGGTGGGACATGCTCTGAACACCTCACCATGGAGGCATGCAGGAGGCTTCCTAACCAGATGCCTTTGCCACCTCAACTGGCTCTTCTCGATGTGGAGGAGCAGGGGCTCTACTCAGAGTCCTCCCAGGATGACTGAGCTCCTCACACTATCTTTAAGGGAGAGCCCAGACACACTACGGAGAAATCTTCTTTCGGCCGCTTACATCCGGGATCTCGTTCTTTCAACCATGACCCAAAGCTCATGACCATGGATGAGAGTAGGAAGCTGCAGTCCATCGCCTGCAAATCCTTTAACAGATTTTGCTCCCCAATCTAACCAAGATGGCTGTTTTTGCATAGCCTGACGTAGTCCTACTCAATTCTAGTCAGAATATGAGTCTGATACTGCTCCATAGAGCTGTGATTATGGGGCGTGTTTTGAACGAACCAGGAAAAAAAATGCCTCTGCACTCAATTGGACAGACCTACCACCAATAAGAGCAACGGAGTGCGTGACGTATGTTAAGCGACGTATAGTTGTTGTCAACAAAAATCAAAGCGTGCAGTTGCACGCCTAGAATAAAAAGATGAGCCTTGATCACGTTTCTCTGTTCCTCTTTTAAAATTAATTTGCTGTCGATATCTTCTAGAACAGACCTAATAGCAGAATCTACTCATCTCAACTCTCCAGCGGCAGCTTTGGTCACGTGGTCGATTACGTTACTGTTGATCAACTGTCCATCATCGTATAAATCCCGCCCTGACAATTTGATTGGATCGCCAGAGAGTGGGCGATCATACTCGCGCTACTATGGAGCAGAGCCAGACCAAACTTCCCAACCTCAAACCTTGTGGACGGGACTAAGTTCGGAATGGCACCCAGGCTAGTTTTTGCATCTTTCCATTCAGCTTTTCGTGTCACGCCTTTTTTCCCTCTAGTTAGGACACTGAACAACCCCATTAGCAGTTACCTTTCTTGACAAGGTTGAATGTCTATTAAACTGACTCCTGTCCTTCCAGTGATTTTTATACCAGTGTTTTAAAAAATAAACAAACAATATGTAATTATTTACTTAAACATTTAAATGTGTCCTTTTCTTTAGTTGGCATGTAATTAAAATGTATTTAATGATTATTGAGATGATAGCATAGAGCAAAACTGAGTCTTTGCAGAACTTTTTATTGACAAAATATTTCATATTTAAAGATTGCATCTTATAAGGTATATCATCCTTCCATGTAATCTTAATTTACCTCTTTCAGCGACAACAGCAGAACCCCTAAAGTGTAAATCTCAACGAGGGGACGTAAAGCAGAGCTGACACATCTGCCGTCCTGTCCTCCTCCTGTCTCACCTCATCTCATCCTGTCAGATCCCCCTCCATGTTTCATCTCCTCCTGACGTCTCCTGCTATCCTCAGCAGTTTGGCACCTCAGCAGAGACGGTTTCACGCCTCTCTTATCACCTCTGGGCTTTCCTATACATCTCTGATCACTGTTGAGCGTGCACGCACACAAAAGCACACATCTGATCCCTATTTTGCTTCCAAAAGCAGAGGAGTTTTACAATTTACATCACCAAAACAACATATTTACATTTACACATATCAACGTCCATGACCTTTGGCTTTGCTGTAGATTTCTTTTGTGTGCTTTTTTTTTTTTTTTTTTGAGCTATGATGTTTCATTGTTGTGCATAATATTCATCGTAGGGTTGATTGAAGTTAGTGGTCTGAGGGCGAGGAATGGTGTAGTCCTTGTTGGGGTCGATTTCCTGAAAGACAGGCAACCTCTGGGTAAACAGTGTTTTCATTATGTTTATTACTTTGCTCAGTAGCTGTAATAATCTGCAGAGGGAGGAACTGTGGAGGATGTTTGATAAAAGCTCACCGTCATGGAGAAACCAGACTCGTAGGGGGATCGCAGCGCTGGCTCAGCTCTCCTGCCTGAGGGGGAGACATGATGCAGTTTGGGAAGAATCAGGTCAGCGTTTGCAGTTCATCGTTGGCAGAAACAGTCAAACCTGACCTGAATCAAACTTTGCTCCATTTCTCCTACTTTTTTTGGTAAATACATGTATTTCCTGCAGTCATTTATGTGCTATATTGACTGCAAAATAACCCTTTTCTTTTAGTGTTTCTAGAAAACGTCCTTAAATCAGAAATGCTTTCACAGATGGGGGAATTTTTATACAGGGTTATAACTGGCTGAGGACTGAAAACTACTTTTTCCCTCAGCAGGTCTGAATGAGTTCCAATAAATAAACCAGTTATTCTGTCAACCTCTGAATTAATCACAGCTCTGGAAGATTTATTGGTTCAAGTTATTTCATTTTGTCAGCTTGTTTCTGTTAGAACAGAATGCTATTGCAAGTTTTAGTCACAGTAAAACCCCATACATGTTTAAAGGTGTTTTTAAACCCATGGAAATCAAAATGATCAAAAGGACACAGAAATCTGGGAGAATTTGCATAATTTTAACAAATTAACAGCAAACTAAGAAGATAATGGCTTCATGTATCTTGCTTAGCTCAGGCTGTGGAGGCGGGACTGAAGATAAATCATATGTAGCTCCTACTTTAAAGTTTACAGAATATCAGCTGATTTAATTACAACAAAAATTTTTTGCTTATTGTGTTTTCCTTATTTATCAGATTCTATTTAATTCAGTTTATTTATATAGCACCAATTCACAACAGGTCATCTCAAGGCAGTTTACAGTTCAACCAGATCATACAGTCAAATTGATTCAAAGTTTTCTATCCAAGGAAAACCAGTTTATTACATCGATTCATTGACTCAAAGGCAATCTCTCACACTAAGCATGCTTGTAGCGACAGTGGAGAGGAAAAACTCCCTTTTAACAGGAAGAAACCTCCAGCAGAATCAGGCTCAGTGTGAGCGGCCATCTGCTGAGGCCGACTGGGGTTCAAGAAGGCAAAAAAGATTTTAAAAAAGCAACAGTAAAAGGCGGCCCCATCCAGGAAACCCACAGCCAGGCAGACAAGCTCTGAGCCAACTCCCATGACTCACAGTCAGAGAAACAGGACTACACTGAAAAACAGGCTGATCTCCAACATATATAAACAAAGGTGTTGATGGCAGCAGCAGAGCTGATATTTCTCTCCAGGATGGAGTCACAAACGTTCTAGCATTCAAGGGTTGGAGATAATGTTGTTGCTTTATTTAAGGGTTTCTTTTGGTACAAATTCAATAAACTTTAATCCTCGATGTTGAGTTTAATAATAGAATTACACATAGATGATCATCTTCCCACCCTCTTTGTTTTTAGGGCAACAAAGTCAATCGGACCAAATTTAGATCCACATTTCTTAGATTTTCAAGCAATTAAAAAAAGGATCTTGCTCTATTTTGTATTTATGTTTCACTGTATGTTGTTCTGTCACATAAAATCCCAATAAAATATGTTAAGTTCGTAACAGAGACAAAGTTTTAGGAGTTTGAAGACTTTAGCAGGTTGCTGTACTGAAAATGTTGTTCAGTCTTAAGTTACTTTCAAAAACTTCTCTCTATAAAAAAAAACCCAGAAATCTGTTTTCTTCCACCGAACATCAAACAGCAAAGACTATGTTTTATTTATACAATTTGTTTTCAATTTTAGTCTTCCAAGTGAACTGTTTAATGTAATAGTTGCATTAAAAAAAAAAAAAAAATCAGTACTTTTAATATTAAAGGAATATGTGAGTTTTATTTTTTATGAATGCCATTTATCTTATTTAATTCATATGCAATAGGTCATTAACAAAATGTGGCACAATTTTGTTAAAGATTAAGGCAAGAACACCTTCAGTGCATTTGATGTGCAGGATTAAGTGGTTTCCAGTTTAGAAAATCTATGGAGTTTTATTGCTGCGTGCTGAACAGACAGAGAACCGAGCATGTTTCCATCTCACCTCTCCTGTTCTCGCTATCGCTCTCGTAGCTTCCGTTTTCCTTCCCTTCCTTCTGGCTTCCCAGTCCAGGGATGTCTGCATTGGGGTGAGTCCAGCCTGCAAAGCTCAGAGGAACCTCCTGGGCTGTAGCCTCCCCTCTGCAGAAGAGGGCAACCTGGGAGATGCCGTGCCCCAAAAGTAACACCCAGCCATTTGTTACCAAGGCGATGCTAAGCACGGGGTCATCCCAGACTGGCTGTTTGTTCACCTCCTCGTTTCCCCTAGTGAGCATTGCGATCCACACCACCCATATGCAGGCGGAAAGCACCAGGGTGATGCAGAGCGCGGCTGCTTGCGGCTTCCACTGCTGGTTGGTGGGGCCCGTGTAGCTGTAGGTGTACGTGAAGCAGGAGCGGCACAGGATTTTCAGGGACAGGATTAGACTGATCAATAAGAGGCACAGCACATAGATCTGCAGCATGGCAAACTCCGCCTGGCTGTACTCGCAGGGGTTCTTGTCCCGGACCAGGACGATGATGAGCCACTGTGTAGAGATGATAACCTGCACGACGAAGAGCCCCAAGGCCACGGCTGGTTCCCCCCAGCTTCGGGCGGCTGCAAAACCCAGCATTGCAAGGCAGCGAGCCAGCAGGCAGGAGAAGGCCAGAGAGAAGAGCACCCCAAAGAGGAAGATCCTGGTGGGGCAGGTCTGGGGGTTGTGCTTGATGATGAAGGAGAAGGTGATGGCGAAGATGCCGGCTGTGGCAAACAGAAACATGGACATGGAGAGGACTGTTCCCCCGACTGTGCTGCCGCTGCGATTCGGGGAAGATAGGAACCTGCACAGCGCCCAGAACAGCAGGCCTAAAAGAAGACCTATACTTAGCAGGAAGCCTGCAGAGGCCAGAGTCTCCAGAATGATCCCCCAGGCTGCCCGGCGATCACACAGGTAGCTATAGTCTGGATGCAGTCCATCTCCACAGCCTCGCACCTTCGGATAAGTGGCGTTTGAGGGAGTGGTTGGGCTGCTGGTGCTGTTGGTTTGGGTCTGGGATAGGCAGGCGAGAGGGGAATAGAGAAGGAACAGAATGGGGAGGAAAGAAGTGGGCTTTGTGGTTGAAAAAGCCATAATGACTTTACAATCCACAGTGGAGTTCAGCCTTGGTGGATAAACTCTCCCCTGATGTGGCAGCTTGTTCCTGCAACACAGAGAACCATCAGACACCAAAAGGCTGATGTGACATAACAGAGTCTGCAGCATAGAAGAGAGCAAAGAGGTTTCTCAGTCAAAGTGCAGGAACAGGGAGTGTGCAAACATGCCAGAACACAGCAGAAGGGTAAGCGAGCGCAGGACTAAAGCAGAATGGCGTAAAGGCTGAGCAGAAAGCAACAAATAAAGCAGCCAACAAATCCTCACAATTCAGAATTTTTCTTTTAGGAAAGACATTATTAATCATAACTACGGATTATGTTTCTGTTGTTCTTAGGTGTCTACATTAAAGGTTCTCCACACATTTGACCTCTAATAGAGCTTATGGAGTGCGTAATCTTGCACATAGAAATAAGTAAAAATTTCTTAAACTAAGTGTATTTACCCTTAATTTGAGTAGGTAAATGAGACAGTTTGCCAGTGGAATGAATATTTTTACTCTTAAATAAGATATATGCAATTGAATATGCAACTGAAATAAAACAATGCAATTGTGTTTTCTTATTTTAAGTGTAAATTATCTTGTTCCTTTCGCAATATGTCTCTTTACCTCCTCAATCCAGAAAAAGAAAAATTACTTATCTAGATTTCAAATTTTTCCATTTTTTATAGTGTTGTGATCTTTTCTACAGGAGTGCCTCAAGGCTCTGTTCTCAGGCCCACGCTATTTTCCATCTGCATGATTCAAATCTCTTCTCATAGCTCTAATTTACACCCAGTTAAATCTACAAAAATATTTTCTTGTTCCTCTGCTTCCTCAACTTCATGAAACTAAAACATGTAAGTATTGAAATTAATCACTGTGATAATGATAAACCAGATATAATTATATTTGTTCATAGCGGGACCTGCTAGATGCCTGCTTCAGATCTGGGTAAAATAACAAGTCTTAAATGTTGTGATATTTATTAGTGATGTTTATCTTAGAGTGTAGTTTACTAATAAAGATAATCTTTAATTGAGGCTTTTATCAAAAGGTTATCATGTTTTAGTGCTCAACTTTAACAATTATGTAGAGATTTAGTTAAAAATGTCTCCTTATCAATCTACTACAAAATACAGGAGCTTATCTGTAAACACCAAAAGATACCTGCCTCTATTTGTTTGCTCGCTGCCCATAAAAGAAACTTAAAGATTTTAAAGCTGGCCAATTCTGTTTAAATTTAATTTGTTCTGCTACATGTATCCATGTACTGTGCATACAAGGCTGGAACTGGAAGATGAGCAGTCCTGATATGCAGGTATAACTTCCGTCAGCTCAAAGTGGAGCCTTTGTTTCTCTGTCAGAGGATCAAAAATTATCTTTATGTCATTTTAATCCGAGGCAAATCTGAATTTTAGCCTGATGCTCGCCTTTTATTATCTACTCATGTGAAACAAAGGTGGTAGAAATATTATTGCTGTATCCTGATGGAAGCTTGGAGAGTTTATTTCAACAGGAAATCTTTTTTTTTGTTCAAGTTATAGTTAGTGTGCGGAAAATAACATCAGTAAATCAGCAGAGATAGATTCATGCTTTTATCTCATTCCAGACAAACTATAAACCTTTACTGAAGATCTCCTTAACTTCTTTTTTATTAAAGTGCTGAGAAAGGATTGCTGTTTAAATCAGAAAACACTTGTAATAAAAAGACTCTTACCCTTTTGTTCCTCCAGATGCAGCTTTGAGCTCCTAAAAACTTAGAGTTGGGTGTGTAATTCCTCAGTGTGCAGCCATGCAGCTCTTATCTAGCCTGTGTGCTCATAGGTCTGCCAAATCCGAGTGAAACAAAGGTAGTGAGGTCATACAATTCCCGCTTGAAAGATTGTTTTCCCTTCACAGCAACAGAAAACAGAACGCTACACCCAGACTCATCCCTTCCTCTCTTACCTGCTCCGCTTTGGTCCCTCCCTCAGATTCCAGGTGTGCTCATGCATCTGAGAGCTGCGATGGCTGCAGAGTCCCACCTCTAGATCTGAATCCCATTTCCCGCCAGCATTTGCATCCCATTTGCTGATGGCGCTGGCACTCAATCTGGATTAACCAGAGAGTCTGAAGCGGGTGTCGAAATCAAACTCAGGAGGGTTTAGGAAATTACAGAGAGGAACGACTTTAAGGTGAGTCCGACTGACTCATCCCGATGTCACGGGGATACACAGCGTTGCCTGAGTTACTGGTCGATCACCAACACAACATTACAAATCAGTTAGCTTGCCTCGGGGTGAGTTGCACTACGTCTAGAGAACACCTTAAGACTGTTGTCTCTCACAGGTCCTTACAAAACACTGCAACTCATGCCTGTACAAGTACGGCAATCATACGCTCAGGGTGTGTTGCACTCAGTCTGAAGTCACTCTTTAATGCCAGTAAAGCATTTGGGAATGCTGGGAAATATCTGCTATTAGGTGAAAATATCAGTATCAGGGCATTCAGATAGTTAGACCTGAAACCATGGAGCCATCCAGGGTCACTTTCCCAACTGAGCTTCCTTTAAATGCCAAAGCATAGAAGAGCTGCTGACTATATTCACCTGTCGCCGTGCATGCACTGTAATTACTGCTTTCTGCAGGGCAACCTGCACTCTACCAAGTAATTATGATCAAAGACTGTCATTTGGTACATTACAGAAACAGCCTGTTCAGTGATTTCACTTCATAACAGCGAGAGGATGTGGTGAGATGGATTATTGTATGTTCTTTAAATGAGCTGTTTAAAGATAACACTGAAAATTGTGTGCAACAGTTCTTTTCATATTACTGAGTGGTATTTAAACCGTCACATTTACTCCACCATGATATGACCACTAATGCACAAACGATCACATTAACTCACCTTAAAACGGAGTGTACATAAAGCACACACAGGCCTTCTAACCAGCCCAAAACCATGGTGGCACAGGGTGTAACACAACTGTTAACCACTAAGTAGCATTTATTTTATAATGAACACTTTCCTTTTATTGAAAGAAAGCAATAACACAGTTAATAGACCCTGCAGTTTGCTTGTCGCCATGGAGTTGGATTTGATGATGCCATCATACACCTGCTTCACCAAACCCAGTCATTTAGACAATGCAGACAGCACTGTGAGGATTTGTGTTCTTTGATTTCTCCGGTGGATTTAACACATTCAGCCTGAGTTACTGTGTGAGAAACTCCAGAAGACTCATCAACAATCACCTGGATCAAAGACTACCTGATAAACAGACCACAGTTTGTTAGATTGAAGGGTCAACTGACTAATCAAGTAGCAGCAAGCGCAGGAGAAGCAGAGGGGACGGTACTCTCTTCATTCCTCATTACTCACTGACTTCCTGACTTCCAAGAACAGACAGAGTCCTGTCATCTGCAGAAATACTCAGATGACTCTATCATTAGGTGCATCAGAGATGGACAATAGGTTGAATACATAGAGCTGGTGAACCGCTATGTGGCATAGTATGGAAACAATCATCTCACCCTAAATGTCAACAGAACGAGGGAGATGATTGCAGATTTCAGAAGAAATTCAGGTGTGGACTGGAGACACAACTGTGAAGCTTTCCATAAGAAACGACAGAGAAGACTGTACTTCCTAAGGAAGCTTAGGTCCTTCAGTGTTTGCAGCAAAATGCTACATATCTTCTAAAAGTCTGTAGAGAGGGCGATAGCTCCCTCCGACTTATTCTAGGGTAACAGCATCAGAGATAGACTTAGATAAGCTAGAAAAGCTAATAAAGAAGGCCAATTCTGTTCTAGAAATTCCTCTAGAACCTCTGGAGATTATTTCAAAAAGACAAATTCTTCATAAAGTGAAGAAAATTATGGAGAACAGTGTCTTAAATGAGAGGCTTCTCCATATTATGTGCAAGAAAGGCTTACAGCCTACAGCTATCAATATTTATAACAATTAGATAAAAAAAAAAGGGAGAAAAAAGCAAAAACAGCCTCTCTGAGTTACTACAATTTAACTTCCCTCAGTAACGTAATATCAATAAAATATTTCAACATTGGATTCTCCCCCCCAACTATGTAATGATCTCTTAGGCCATAACATTTTTTACCCATAGACGGCCATCCTAACAATGCACGTAAGAAGGAAAACGTTAGCCTTTAGATGCAAAACCCCATCATGCACCCCAACATATTTTTGCTGAATATTCGAACATAAATTTGCCAAATATAAGAGGAACATCATAGTTTGGTTTAAAGAAAGCATTTTAGTTTTATTACAAATTAGTTTGTTGCAACAATTTTACAGTTTGTAGAAATAGAAAATGACACCATATGCCAACCGTCACAAGGATGTGAATGACAAGGAAGGGCTATATATCATCTAAATGATACCATGCATCATTTAGACCGTTAACATTGTATTACTTCTTTAGCTGCTTCAACTATTTACTGTCACAGGTAGGTGCTTCGGCCAGAAACTAGGTGTTCGGGCCGGTATGATTTAAGGGCCGGCCCTCGCACGCTGAAATTAGGACCGGCCCACCACAGATTACCAGTCCCAGCCTGTGTGCAACTACAACATTTTCCCAACAAGTTCTATGCAGATTAAGGACCCAGACATACAGGGACATGAAACATAAGAATGGTAATCTCTGCACAGGGGCTGACCAGCTGCAGCTCATCTCAGGCAGACCAGAAATGGCTCTTTAACAGGGAGAACATGTAAGGTAAATAAAATCCCATTATTGTCCCACAATAGGGAAATTCACTCTCTGTATTTAAGCCATCCCCTTGGAGAGCATTGGACTGCCATTGTGTGGCGCCCAGGGAGCAGTCTGGGGCTAAGGGTTTTGCTCAGGATCTCAGCTTGGAGGCTGTAGGAATTCAACCAGGAACCTGCAACCTGCAACCAGAGCACATTGCTCTAACCCACTAGGCCAAACCTCTCCAATTAGAACAAAACATGTGCTGTAACACAATGTTTTGTTCGGTTTTGTCGCACTTAGATCTTTTCAGATCATTAAAATGCATACACCTCCTAAAAAGTTAACCAGATCGGTCCAAACCAGTTTGCACCCAATGATTAACTACACTGCAAAAAATATAAATCTAACTAAGTCATTTTTTCTTAAAATAAGTGCATTTGTTTCTTGAATTGAGGGGGAATGGGAGATACTTTGCCAGTGGAACAAGGAAATTTACATTTAAAATAAGAAAAAAAATGCATTGTCTCATTTCAAGTCCATATTATCTAATTATTTTATATTAAGAGTAAAAATACTCATTCCATTGGGGAAAAAATCGTATTTACCTGCTCAAATTAAGGGTAAATACACTTGATTTAAGATATTTAATTTCTAGATCGTTTTTGCAGTGTATGTCACCCCTAAGTCAAAAAAATACGGGAAAAAAAATATTAATCGGAGTTTTGTACTGACTTCACAGGTAGGTATTTATATTTTCACACACCACCACATGCTGAGATGGCTTTTGCAATAAAAAAGCATTTTTGGTAATCAAGACTTCTGAAGCCATTATCGAAAAAAAAAAAAAAAATTAAATTAAGTTTATTTACCTTTAATTTGAGTAGGTAAATAAGATGAACTGCCAATGGAGTGAGATTGTTTACCCTTAAAATAAGATAATTAGATAATATGCACTTGAAATAAGAAAATGTAATTGTTTTTTCTTATTTTAAATGTAAATTGTCTGGTCCCATTGGCAAAGTGTCCCACTTAAGTCCTCAATTCAAGAAAAAATGCACTTATTTTAAGAAAAAATTACTTATTTAGATCAACTTTTTTTTGCAGTGTAGGATTCTTTGGATCTTTGGTATCAAAAAATAAACAAGCATGATCACATTTTCCTCTCAAATCATAGTACAAAACTGTAAAAACAAAGCATCAGGTTTGTACGAAGTACAAAAAGTACAGAAAGTTGACTTTAGGAATCAGACCTTCCTTTCCTAGTAATTTTTGAGCAGCACCTCTTGTTCAGGCCCTTTCGATGTAAAAAGATTTTTCTAATGCATATGCTGGAGAAAAAAAAAAAACTGAACAGAAAAACCACCCACTGAAGCTGGAGTGCTGAGTCCATTACAAAATAAGAGTTTGACTTTCTCTTGTTTAAGAGAAACTGCAGCAAAGAACTGCTTGTTTTCAAAATTAGGCAGCATCTAATACCTATACAGTTATCAAGAAGGTTTCAAACATCTAATAGGTCTCTGAGACACCCCAGTTCATATATGGACTGTTAAAATAAAGTTTAAAGTCTTCAAAATAAAAGCTTTGCTTCTTTTTTTTTTTTTTTTTTACAATAAATCCGTGCAAAAAAATCGAATGGTGCTTTTTTAGTGTATTACTTTTCAAACATAATAGTCTGGTGTTAACAGGCTTTTAGTTATTATATGAGCTTATTTTAGAATACCTCACAGATTTAAGCTAGAAATATAGAAATAATTAGTTGGGCCTTCAAAATATATCTTACAGATACTCTTGGGAATAAAAGTTCTCATCTGCAAGCCTAGTCTGCATTTGTAGATAATTTGCACCAATTAGTGTTTAGTGAATTGAATTGTAAAGTGCCTTGAGATGATGTGTTGTGAATTGGAGCTATATAAATAAATAAACTGAATTGAATTGAATAAAAATCAGTGTTTTATTTAACACTACTAGGGAAAAAAGAAAACACTTCACTGAGTGCTGATAGATAGAAATAATTTGTTGATAGCCTATACTATTGCATAGATATTTCCAAATCATCTCTCTCTTTTATTTATTTATTTTTTTCTACATTGTGTCCTGTTACAACTATAAACCTAATGTCAATGCATTGGGTTTATAGGTGATGGAGAACCTTTAGGTAGGATATATTTCCAAATCGAAGTTTGTTTTCATTTCTCTAACAGTTTCACAGCTTCATAGACAGAAATATTTGGCTGCTTTTCTGTGTTTTTTAAATCCCTGATCCACAAACATAGATTTTCAAGTCTTTTGCCCCCTCCAACAGGGCTAGGTTAACCTGAGTTCACATCAGCGTGGGTGGTGATAGTTTTCATCCACATTTAGTCTACAAAATTGTTATGTCCCACCTTCTCTTACATATCTATGCCTTTTCTCCTACACAGCTGAATCTCTTAAACCCCTCTATAAAATATAATCAACTGTGGTAAAACCTGATAAAATATTACAAAATTCAAGGGAAATAAATGCTCTTGCCAAGTATTTTACATCTCTATCCACACACTATGTTACCTGCATGCTAACTTTATCTTTTTCCTATACCCGGCAGTGAATCACAGGAAAAATCTTTATATTTTCTATACACCAGCATTAAAATGTGATTATTGCACACACAAAAAAAAAAAACTGTGACCTCTACTAAGTTCTTTCAGGTTTAAAAACAGTGAAGGCAGACAAGAATGTTGGAAATTCATACTTTACTGACAGCTATCAGTACACACCAGTTCACAGTACATTTTCTTCTGTATTGTGCTTTAAAACACTCAAAAAGCATGCAGCGTATGTCTTAAAGTTCTCTTAGAGGGAGCTGGGTTTAGATGGTGGGGAGAAAGGGAGGTCATGTGAAAGTGCATCGTAGCTTTCACCCCTTCCAGCATGATGCACGCTCTTCTTGGTTCTAACCTGGGTCACATGGAGCAGAACAAAATAAAAACATTCACACACACACCTCACACATACGATGCAAAAATAAAGAGGGGGAGGGAGTACAAAAGGAAGGTAAAAAGGTTCAATCTTAGGAGTTATTTACATTTTAACAAACAGCTAGAAGTGAGTAGAGGCTAGTGTTGAGCTAGCGTTTGGCTTGCATCCATCGCCGTGGTAACGGAAGTACAGGGAGAGAGCGGGAAGGCCGTAGCTGGGGGGGAACTTCTCTACATGGCTGATGGGATGGAAAAAGGTTTGTGGGTTTTTTCTCGTCTTCTCATTTCAAGCATATATACTGTAAACAGTATCTTATATATATTTATATATATAATATTAATATAAAAATAACAATATCCACTCAGTGGATACTTTAATAAATATGAGGCAGTCAGACGAGCGGGCGTTAGGGGGTTGGCTGGCAGCCTTATGGCGGCTCGCCGGGCTGAGACGGAGAGAAGGCCGGGCGGAACGGATCCTACGGAGGAAAGGTGCAGGAAGGCAGGAGGTTTAGATGATGCCGTATTTGGCCAAGTCGCTGAGCTCCATGTCGCCGAAGGCTTCCCATGGGCACACCACTGTGATGTCAGTGCCGAGGCCCTCCATGCCGGGGATGTCGTCTCCGAAGCTGCCGAGGTCAGAAAGGACAGCGGTCAGATTGCTGAGCTCTTTTTGAATTTGAACAAAGACAAAACAATTCAGAGATTTTTACCCCTTCTGGCCTGGCTTGGGAGCCTTGCTCTTGAATGTGCGGGTCTGCCTCTGCTTGAACTTAGGTGGACCCTTTTTGGGAGTGGTGGGCCCCGCTGCTCCACCGGGGGACAGGGCACTTCCTGCTGGTGGACTGGCGTTCATTTCGAGTGTCTGAGAGAGAGACAGAAGTTATTTAAGGCACTGCCTTCTGGCGCCTGGCTTTAATCCTGTTTCCATCGAGCTCCTAATGCCAATCAGGGCTGATTGTACAGATTAGGCTAACCTGCCAGATTAGCTGTAATCCATCCAAAATCCTCAGACTGCTAATTGTCCTTCACAGAAAGCAACCTAGATCTTTGACCTCAAACCTTCCTGGAAGATTTTTAAGTTAAACATCCAACATGCAGCAGACTTTAACTTAAACTCTAACTGTTTGGGTTTTCTACCCAATAAATCTCAGTGTGCGTATTTCTGTATAAAGAAAACGGGATATGCTTTCAGCTCCCCTCTATCAAACCCCTGAAACTTTAGTAGTGTTAAAAAAAGGTGAAAAAGTCCCTGTTCCATCCAGATATGTAACTTAAACAGAGAACCACATTGGAAAAAGAATCTGGAAATAAGTAAAAAATTCTTAAATTAAGTGTATTTACCCATAATTTGAGCAGGTAAATGAGGTAGTTTGCCAATTGAATGAGTATTTTTAATTTTAAAATAAGCTAATTAGATAATCTGCACTAGAAATAAGACAATGCAATTGAGTTTTCTTATTTTAAATGTAAATTGACTTGTTCCTATGGCAAAATGTCTCTTTTACCTCCTCAATCCAAGAACAAATGCACTTATTTTAAGAAAAAATACTTTTTTCCAGTGCAGCTGCAGCAGCATCGGTATAAAGGACCCATGGATAAGGAGGAGATCCTTTAGGGGGGCTGTTGCTGAGCTTTGCTATGGGAACAACCTATCAGCCATCTGTCTGTTCTGACCGTTTCTCCTGAAGTCAATCCGCTTTACTCTGAGCCTTCAACAAACAGAGACCTGCTTTCAGTTTTCCAGTTATCTCTTTTAAAACTTTACAGTTTTATTTAAGCAGCAAAGATTTTTTTTTTTCCAATTCCGAAACTTCTATAGTTTCCTCTCTGTCACTAGTTTCATTTTTAGCTTCATTTTTGTTTCCAACAATTCAAACATCTTCTAATTATATGATGTTTTATTTCAAAATCCAAATTATTCCTACTTGTCATTTCAAAGAAAACAAAGAATAATTTCAGCAAGAAGCATCAGTCTGCTCCTACCTTGTGCTGCAGGTATCCCAGGAAGCCTCTGTTCAATGCTTCTTCTTTGTGCTGCTTGACTTTAGGGAGCACCTTGTCTACATTGTGCTTTTATACCTCCATTTCTAATCCCCACATCCTCTTCTTACCAGTCACATGGTCACTGGTAGAGGTCAGCCAAACATCTCGAGGAACCCAGCATCTTCTTCTCCCCCTCCCTTCCACTTGTTTCCATGGTATCAGGGGCCCCGGCCCGCCCCTCCCTGCCTTCCTGCCACAGCATGGAAACGGTCCGTGGAGCTTGAAAAACAATGTCAGAGATCAGTCTGGAAAGATTTTATCCGGCTTACTGTCCTAAACCCAGGCACGCCTGCTTTAGCTGTGCTGCGATGAGACCATCTAAACGGTCGCGTTTCACGTCCATGTGAGAATCTGCTCTCACATGTGAGATGTTGACATTGTGTGTTTTTATGTTGAAAGTAAAGGGATTAACACTTGGGAATTTTAGCAAAGTTTTAAAAGAAATCTAAAAAATTTGTCTCTAGAAGACAAATATCTGGATAAACCCTTTAAATGTTCAGATTTTTAGCCATTTCTGACCCTTCTGATCAGGCTCTGTGAGAAAAAAGAACATTCTAGTCATTTACAGAAGTAGATGATAGATTCCTAGAACTGATACCTCAATCCCCATTAATCTACATCCCATTAAAACCTTAATGTTTTACAGTATGCTCTGCATTTGTCTGAAGCAGAACATGAGACCCAAATTGAGCTAACAGATCTAGGTGTTGTATATTTTTTCTCTGTGTCGTTTGATCTGTTTCCTCTTTTGCTGTTTTTCTGTTTTTACTGATAAAAATTTTATTTTTTATTTTTTGACTATATTTAAAAACACTTTGTTCATATTCTGTTGTTTTTAATGTGCCATATAAGGCTGAAGCAATTAATCAGATTAATCGGAATTAATCAATTCCTGAAATAATCAACTAATCTAGTTATCAATTACTAGATTGCTTTTACATGCCTTTAACTGACAGAAAAACCCACTTCGAGCAATAATTATACCAAGATTTTGAAAAATAAACATTTTGCATTGAAATAAAAAAAATGTCTGTCAGCATGCTCTATCCAAAACTCCTGAAATGGAAAACTTTGAGTTTCACCTTGTTTAATTTCATAAAAAAGTTTCCTTTAAGGAACCTTTCGCTATCTGATTATTAATCGATTACTTGAAAATATAATCCACAGATTAATCGATTGGCAAAATAATAGTTAGTTACAGCCCTAGTGCCATAGATATAAATTTAGATTGACATTTTTTAATATTACAATAATAGTGTAGTGGAATAAAAGATAGATAGATAGATAGATAGATAGATAGATAGATAGATAGATAGATAGATAGATAGTCATTCACATGAACTGCACATTAAATAC